AAATTTTTTGAATTAGTAGTGTCTTTGATAGTAAAAATTGTTTTTCGAGGCCAAATTTTCCGAAGCCAAGCTTAAGTAAAAATTGTTTTCCTTCTTTTTTATTCTTTCTTTCTTTTAATTTTTTTTCTGATTTAAAAAAAATTACGTATTTGCATTGATCTACCAAAAAGCAGCAAAATTGATAGATTTCGAAAAAAAATTTTGCAAAAATCAGAACGACTTGCAGAGTCCAAAAAAAACATTGAAATTTTCTCTGCATGATTTTTTTAGTCAACACACCGGGAGACCTAACCCGCAGGTTACTTATATTTAAAATGACAAGAGCGCATAACCAGCACCCATTAAGCTGTGACTTACTTGCAAGAGCTCACCTTGCAAACTGCAGCGCACGAGCAAATTGAACTAGCATGCATATGAATGCTGGGCACCATCACTATCGGATCGCCACAATATAGTTTACAATATTGCGAGTTTTCTTGTTTTTGTGGAATCCACTTAGAGTTTGCGGACTTCATTTATATCATTACAATAATCATTAAAATTTTACAGAATCCGCTTACTTTTGCGAAATCCAGAATAATTAGCTACAATAGCACATTGCAGAATGTGCGACACAACTAATGTACCAACATAACTTACATTACAAAGTGTTTAGGCGCGGAATCCACGGACATCTTGAAATTGGAATTCACTAGTCGACTTTTTTTTAGGTCGACCGAATTGATTTTCCGAGCACTCTCAACGCACTACACAGAACCTGTTTCGGCCAAAATTGTTGCGCCGCAGCCAGAATTTTGAAAAAAAACAGGCAAAACTTTGGAGGCAGAATTTGGAAAGTTTTTACCAAAAATTGCGTTTTTTCGGGCGCGCGCTCCCCCCTCAAAATTAGTATTTATTGGCAACGAAAGCACTTTTAAAAAATTTTAGCGTCAGTCACCAAAAACTGATATCTTAAAACTGTACAAAGGGGGACAAAGGGTATAAAATAATATGATGATCAAGCGCTTTCAGCTTCAAATACTGCTTTTCATTGGCACTTTTTTCGAAAAAAAGATCACATTTTGAAAACGTTGGATAAACAGGTAATTTTTTTAAAAAATGATGTCCGTTTTTGTAATTACGGGGTTCATATTTTTTGTGACTTTTTCACTTCTGCTGTTTGGTCGTAGAGTTTACTGGTGAACAAGTTTTGAGTTAGTTTTTTCCTGGAAAAAATATCAAGAGCTGTATAAGTGAAAATCAGTTCAATCTTGCACTTAGAAAAACAGCGTAGCGCATTTTTTAAAGTCATCAAAAAAAATCTAGGAAATAAATACAAGCATCAAGTTTACTCTGATTCGAACCCATGTTTTGAACATGGCTTCATTGTGCCAAAGAGTCGCTCGATGAAATTTTTTACAATTGGTCTTTAATAATAACCAAATCACTGCACAGTTTGGCATCGTTAATACTTAATTTTAAAAAAAACTTTGTTTGGCTAGAATTTTGTGTGAGAAAAATTGTAGAATTCAGGACAAGCATTAGAAGGCTTTATACTTAAATTGATAGAAAAATCTGTGTTTTCTTTAATTTACAACCTTTTCAACAAACTTGAGCAAAATATTCTGACCAATGCCGATTTTGTAGAATCTTAAGAGTTAATTTCCTTTTTTCTTTTGCATTCTGCAAGATAAGCTTGACTAGCGTTTGTACGCAATCATTGGCGTTGGTAGAGCAAAAAAAAACTTGGTTTTTAAAAACCAAGAATGAAACCAAGAGATAAAAGTTTGTTTCAAAACCAACTTTTGGTGAAGAAGTTTTTCTATATTTTATAATTTTTCCGAAGATCTAATTAAAATAGATATACCTTTTGTATTTGAAAATTTGAAATTTTTATGAAAATTATGCAATAGCAGCCACTTCAAACAAATTTTCAACTCCTGAGAGCTAATTTCGTAGGGTTCTACCAGAACTCTTTTTTTTTAATCATTTTTCTTGAGCTTATCAGATCTAGGAATTTCTAGAGGCGGGGGGATGTATTAGCAAATTCTCGAAATCTTTGATGACTATGTTTTAGGTCGAGCAAGTTGATTTTTCGAGTTCTCTTTTTCGAGCCATCAGGAACCTACTTTGATAAATCTGCTTCCCTTATCTTTGTATACATTGGCGCCCTAGAAAAATTTACTGTCGGTCGGTTACTCTGAGCCCGGGTTATATCAGTTATCACTTCATTTATATCATTACAGTATTCATTAAAATTTTGTAGAATCCGCTTACTTTTGCGAAATCCAGAATAATTAGCTACAATAGCCTGTTGCAGAATGTGCGACACAACTAATGTACCAACATAACTTACATTACAAAGTGTTTAGGCGCGGAATCCATGGACATTTGGAAATTGGAATTCACTAGTCGACTTTTTTTTAGGTCGACCGAATTGATTTTCCGAGCACTCTCAACGCACTACACAGAACCTGTTTTGGCCAAAATTGTTGCGCCGCAGCCAGAATTTTGAAAAAAAAACAAGCAAAACTTTGGAGGCAGAATTTGGAAAGTTTTTATCAAAAATTGCGGTTTTTCGGGCGCGCGCTCCCCCCTCAAAATTAGTATTTATTGGCAACGAAAGCACTTTTAAAAAATTTTAGCGTCAGTCACCAAAAACTGATATCTCAAAACTGTACAAAGGGGGACAAAGGGTATAAAATAATATAATGATCAAGCGCTTTCAGCTTCAAATACTGCTTTTCATTGGCACTTTTTTCGAAAAAAAGATCACATTTTGAAAACGTTGGATAAACAGGTAATTTTTTTAAAAAATGATGTCCGTTTTTGTAATTACGGGGTTCATATTTTTGTGACTTTTTCACTTCTGCTGTTTGGTCGTAGATTTTGCTTGTGAACAAATTTTGAGTTTTTTCCTGAAAAAAAATATCAAGAGCTGTATGAGTGAAAATCAGTTCAATCTTGCACTTAGAAAAATAGCGTATCGCATTTTTTAAAGTCATCACAAAAAAATCGAGGAAATAAATACAAGCATCAAGTTCACTCTGATTCGAACCCACGTTTTGAACATGGCTTCATTGTGCCAAAGAGTCGCTCGATGAAATTTTTTACAATTGGTCTTTAATAATAACCAAATCACTGCACAGTTTGGCATCGTTAATACTTGATTTTAAAAAAAGCTTTGTTTGGCTAGAATTTTGTGTGAGAAAAATTGTAGAAACCAGGACAAGCATTAGAAGGCTTTATACTTAAATTGATAGAAAAAACTGTGTTTTCTTTAATTTACAACCACTTCAACAAACTTGAGCAAAATATTCTGAGCAATGCCGATTTTGTAGAATCTTAAGAGTTAATTTCCTTTTTTCTTTTGTATTCTGCAAGATAAGCTTGACTATTGTTTGTACGCAATCATTGGCGTTGGTAGAGCAAAAAAAAAACTTGGTTTTTAAAAACCAAGAATGAAACCAAGAGATAAAAGTTTGTTTCAAAACCAACTTTTGGTGAAGAATTTTTTCTATGTTTTATAATTTTTCCGAAGATCTATTTAAATTATTAATGAAAATTATGCAATAGCAGCCACTTCAAACAAATTTGAAACTCCTGAGAGCTAATTTCGTAAGGTTCTACCAGAACTATTTTTTTTTCAATTCAATTTTCTTGAGCTTGTCAGATCTAGGAATTTCTAGAGGCGGGGGATGTATTAGCAAATTCTGGAAATCTTTGATGACTATGTTTTAGGTCGAGCAAATTGATTTTTCGAGTTCTCTTTTTCGAGCCATCAAGAACTTACTTTGATAAATTTGCTCCCCTTATCTTTGTATATATTGGCGCCCTAGAAAAATTTAGTGTCGGTCGGTTACTCTGAGCCCTGGGTGGTGCGCAGCTGCTGGTCTGTTGGAGTGCTTCTTCACAACAGCCGTAAAAATTTCAGTGTGAAAAAATTGTTTTGGAAGCATCGACTTTCAGAATTTAAATTTCAATGTTTTTTTTTGGATCTCTTTAACTATTTACCCTGATGCAAAAGGTTGTGATTTTCGTTAATTGGTACAAAATTTGCATATGCTTACCATTGCTTCATTTCTCTATAGGGTGATGATTTCTGTTTAGGTATCATAGGGGTAGTAGTTGAAGAGATTCCGTTGTTCAATTTTTTGATTTATAATTGTGTTATAATTTTCTGATATATTTTGCTCAATTTAAATCCAATTTTTATTTTTGTTTTCAGTAAGCATGTTTTTAGAACAGCAAAACCTCTTTTTCCGGCGATATAATCAATTTTTTCTCGTCCTTCAAAATCGATTTCATAGAGATTATTTACAGTTTATCTACAGATTTTATACAAATTATCTACAGATTGTCTACAGGTTGTTTTTTATACAGATAATCTACATTTTATATACAGATTGTATACATATTATACGCAGGTTATATACATATTTTATACTTTATAAAATCGATTATTTTGACACTAAAATCTTTTTATTTTTGGTGAAAAAAAATCGATCCAATCTGTATAGAATCGATTAACGTTCGTAAAATGGTTGTAGATAAATCGATTGTATGCTTATGTTAATCTGAAGATTTTTCTGTATATAATCAATTTTTATCAATTTTTGTCACTGCAGGGCATCGTCTACCATTCCAACCCTGCCTCTCCTGATATTAAAAATAAAATTCAGTTTTGCTAGAGACTACTTTTGAAGTAGATTTTGATGGCAAGGAAATTGAGAAGCAATGAGCCGATATGTCAATAAATCTACCGCTCATTAAACAATAAATCTATGAGGTAGTCAGTGTTTGGTTCAAGCCGCTACAGGTCAGGATGTGGGATGTGGTTGATCACTATTTCTCTGTTCAGGAATTGCATCATTGCATTACTTTTTGCTTCAAAATAAAGGTAGTCTCAAATTCACATTGTTCAAACAAATATAGTCTGACTTTTTTCGTTTTTTTTTGGCGAAACTACTTGTATGCTTGATTTCCGGTGGCCGATTCAATGTTGTTTTCAATACGTGTACCTGTGATGGAGACTAGTCCTCCCAGAATGCCATTGGTTATGAATGAAATGTCGAAGCTCCGTTTGATGACAAAACTAAAATGAGAGAAATGAAGTTTTCGATTACTGCATTCGAGACTCGACAGTGCTTTATACTCTCGAACAAGTCTAAAAAAATATTGCATTACGGACGCGGTAGTCTGCTAGTTAGTCACCATAATATGGACATATGTCGCTGACTTGGAAGATACTCATGGTCTCAAACAGGGGCGCATCTAAGGACTTTCTCGGAGGGGGGGGGGGGCAGTGTATTTTCAAAAAATGTTCGCAAAATTTCTCATTTTTTCAAGCTCTCCCAAAGCATTAAAAAACCCTGTTTTGGCAAATTTTTTGCGCCGCAGGCGAGTTTTTGAGAAAATAGGCATTTTTAGGCACTTTTGGACAGTTTTGGCTAAAATATCGCGTTTTTTTGTTTGCCCTCACCCTCAAACGAAGTCAGTGAAGCAGTTTTTAGATGTAAAAATTACTGCAATTTGAAGACATGAAACCACAATAAGTAATCTACAAAAACAAGGATCAACAGCGCAATCTCATTTTTTCTTTTTCATAAAGCAAAGAAAATACCCTAAGGTCGCGGTTAACTGGCTCGTCGCATGCAGTATTTAGTGTTACCGTGCAGGTTGCAATTTTTTCTAAATTACTCTGCTACTCCGCCGAATCCGAAACAAGATTAAATATTATGTCTATGGTAGTTAATGTGAAAGAACCTTATATCAAGTTTTTGCGAGTTTTAGTCTTTGTTTTATTGGAAATAAAACAAATAAAATTGAGCAATTTGCACAGTTTCATTATGAACTTTTGCGAGTTGAAAAAAAAATGTCAAAAAAAAAACAAAATCTACTCTAACTTTTATTCGTTTGACTCGATTGAAGTCAGTGTTAAATTAAAGTGGAATTTTTTTTGAGCGGCAATAGAGCAGGTCAAACTTGTGGAGGTGACAGTGGAGACGGCCGGTGTCATAAAAACTTTTGAGTTATGAAAAAAAGCTTTGAAACAATGGGATGAATAAGTATTAGCGATTTTGAAACAACTTATTATCAGGCAAACAAACTGATATAACATCAGCCGAAACTATTTAGGCCGAAAACTCCAGTAAAACAAAACAAAAACCGTAAAAATACACTATCATCGGTAATATAATAACAAATTTCACGAATATAACAAAATGAATTTCAATCAATAACTTTGTAAATAGCTTAAATCAGAAAAAAATCCATAATTTGGAAAGTGAGCTAATAAATTAAAGCCATGTGTCATAATTTTTTTGGACTGTTTTGTATATGCACCAAAAAAGCATACGAACAAATGCACCAAAAATTTTTTATATGCATCAAAAAAATACGAGATACACTAATCATGCATGCTGCAAGATGGGCGTTACCTCGTAGCTAAATGGGCAGAACCACTACCGAGCTTGAATTTATTTTTTGAAGTACGTAGCATTCCACAAATTCTGTTACTAAAGCTGTTCACGGGAAAAAAATTAGTACCCAATTAGGTGAAGGCTTACGCCTTGTACTCGCCTAGCCAAATATGGGAGTTTAAATAAATTCTGAAAAACTAGCACAAAATTTTATTAGAACTTAGCACCAAAGTTCTTCAATGCAACCGATGCATCACTATTAGTGATATTTAATGAAGAGGCGCATTGAGGATATTGACCCTCACACCACGCAAGTTGTCCATTTTTGGCACTACGTTCGACAAAAATAATCGGACCCCATATAAGCTCATTTTAAGTACGCGCGCAACTGCATGTCTCAAAAAACCGCACTTTTGCTGCGTTTCGCAAGAAATATTTGCCTACAACGCATAAGGTGTGACAGAAAAGGGGCTTTGTTGGTGTTTTATGTCGCTGAAAACTGATCGCCACAATAATTCGAATGATTGAAATATTTGACACCCAGAGAGTCATCCTTTGGTACTAAATTACAACATCCAATATCAGCCGACAAATCAGAAATGTTTGTAAAGGCGCCATGGGCCATCATCGACTAACTTTTTTGAGAAACGCGCGCCGAACAACTTGAATTTCGATCCAAACCATCATAAAACGTGCTTTTTTTTGGCGTTTCAGGAGAGCTCAGAAAATATACTAGTTGACCCAGAAAAAGTATTTGTTTGAATTCCCCCATCCTCAGAAAATCCTAGATGCTCGCCTGCCCCTGATTGATGATCCATCTAGTGTCTGTTCGAATATCGAAAGTGACACTAGATAGCAGACCTTGTATCTATGAGATTGAAATGAAGTGAATAAACTGCTGTGCGCTTACCTGACCAGAAAAGAGACAGCTCCAGCCGCAATTGAGGAGTTAATTGTGGTCACTGCAGATCTGAAACACGAATCTGAAGATTGTTTAGCCTATCAAGGTCAAAGTTGGCTGAATTCCATTATTTACATGCGCAGGTTTTCTCAACGACTTTTTAGTTTCATCAAATTTCAGTGGGCTAGTAAAAGTTGTTGTAGAACTCACAAAGCATAGTTTGTTTGGTGAGGAAATCTTTAATGAATTAGAAGAGTGAGAGGACTCACTTGGCAGCCAACTTCCACTTTCCCCCTGCCACCCCGTACGTGCTGCCGCAGTTGAACCCCAGCCACCCCCACCTACACAAGGGCAAAAGTCACATAAGAATATGCACAAGTTCCGTGGTGTTTATAGTCGCCTTTACTCTGGAACAGGTCGCGCTTTTATTTCCAGACTGTCGCAACCGAAACTCAGTATTTGCAAACTTTGCAAACCAAGATGATGCGTCCGGTACCGGCGCGACAAACGAAATGTTAACCGCGCCCGACACCACCCGAAGAATTGATAGTTTTTGGCGCGGATATTCGATCAGTTAAACATGAATGTTTGTTAGAGAAAACAATTAAATCAACCTTCAGTTTGCAACTGCGTTCTCTATCAATATCCAAAAACATGCGAGGGGCACTCTGGAAATTGTTTTTAAGCAGGATTTGATTTTTCAAATTTTTAAAGAACCTATAGATATTGAAAATTCAAATCAGTAATAACGGTTCCTCTTCGTTTTTAGAGATCTAAGTCAAGACAAAGCTGTTGCATTGGAGTCTGAAAAAATGACGTTCAATCTGCTCAACTGATCGAAAAAGCCATCATGTTGATAGTTTTAAAGCAAAAAAAAATCACCCAAGATTTTTGAAAAACTATCAATGAAGTGAACTGACTAAAAGTATATATTTTGAACAAAAGGCAGTATAAGTTTTGTGGGAAATGCGCAATTAATTTTTTTTCTTGTTATCACAAAATGACAGTTTTTTTTCTGAAAAAATTTGAAAAGTTGTAATTCTATAAAATATACTGGGAATGAATTTTAAAGGTATAACTTTCCTTTTTTCAATGAAAAGTTATACCTGCTCTGAATCACAATAAAATTCAATTTGTCGCCAGTCCGATATAAACAAAATTCAATGAAAGTGTTTCAGCGTCATTAAAAAAATGTGTCTGACAATTTTTTGAAAGTTTTCTTTAATTTTGAATATCTTGTGGATGATTGTGGCCGGAACATATGCTGTTTCTCCATTCAAACTCAGAAATGGGAATAAATTACATTAAACTATAACCTTCAATGCGTCAGAGACCTTATACAGGCATCTGACTATCAAGTGGCCTCCCATGCTGCTTCCCTTTACAACGAAAAGGACTCCTTGAATTCGTTTTTGGAACCAAAGAACCCTTGAAGGCAATCGAATGCATCGATTGCCTTCAAGGGTTCTTTGGTTCCAAAAACGAATTCAAGGAGTCCTTTTCGTTGTAAAGGGAAGCAGCATGGGAGGCCACTTGATAGTCAGATGCCTGTATAAGGTCTCTGACGCATTGAAGGTTATAGTTTAATGTAATTTATTCCCATTTCTGAGTTTGAATGGAGAAACAGCATATGTTCCGGCCACAATCATCCACAAGATATTCAAAATTAAAGAAAATTTTCAAAAAATTGTCAGACACATTTTTTTAATGACGCTGAAACACTTTCATTGAATTTTGTTTATATCGGACTGGCGACAAATTGAATTTTATTGTGATTCAGAGCAGGTATAACTTTTCATTCAAAAATGGACAGGATATATATGGCATCTGAAAAAAATTCATACTTTTCGGATGGTTTTGTGAAACTATTGAGGCTTAGAAATTGTCACTAGACTTTGATGGATGATAATTTATTCTGTTCTTTTGATCAATGAAAAACTTCATAGAAGAGTTGAGTCTAGTTTAAAGTTTTTCCTTGCTGGAGTACTCGGAGGTACTAAAGGCGTTATTTCTATACTTAAATAATGAGAAGCAAACATTGAAATGACCATGTAGTACCTCCGAATACCCAGCAAGAAAAAATTTTAAGCTAGACTCAATTCGTCTATGAAGTTTATCGTTGATTAAAAGAATAGAATATTATGATATGTCATGACATTAATCAATTAAACATCGACTTAAATCTTTCAAAGCCACCATTTTTGTGCAAGGCCAGTGGTTCTATGAACACATTTCTATTGATTTCTGTTAAAAATTTGGATGCTAATAAGTTCTATTGAAACCATGGGCGGATCTATGATTTTCTCGAGGGAGAGGCGGATTTTCAAAATTTTTTGAAAATTTGGCAGACCTTTTTTCTTTAAGGCAAAATCATCCTCCACACTCCATATAAAGTACAAAGTGATAGAGTTAGTTCCTAGTAATAAATCAATTATTGCAAATAAAATTTCCTTCAACCAATTTGGAATGATTACTAAGACGGATTAAATCTCGGCGTACGCGTTAATAGTGCGAAAACATATCGCGTTAATTATCGCAAATTGGCCAAAATGGCAATCTTTATACCGCCATAACTCAACGAAAAAAAAACAAAAAAAAATAATCAACTCACCCCCCCCCCCAACCTTACCCCCAACCCCCATTTGCACAAGACTTACTAGTTCGGAAAAAAATTTCATACGTTTTTACGAGCTTAGAAAAGTTACACTCTGATTATTGTTCCGACTTTCGATACGAAAGTAACCGAATATTTGTGCTCGGGGTGGATTTTTTTCTTTAGACAAATTTCGTCTTTTTAACCAGCCATTTTTGACGGAATTTTTGACGGAATTTTTGACGGAATAGTTTAATATGATATGTCATGACATTAATCAATTAAACATCGACTTAAATCTTTCAAGGCCACCATTTTTGTGCAAGGCCAGTGGTTCTATGAACACATTTCTATTGATTTCTATTAAAAATTTGGATGGTAATAAGTTCTATTGAAACCATGGGCGGATCTATGATTTTCTCGAAGGGGAGGCGGATTTTCAAAAAAATTTTGAAAATTTGGCAGATCTTTTTTCTTTAAGGCAAAGTCATCCTCCACACTCCATATAAAGTACAAAGTGATAGAGTTAGTTCCTAGTAATAAATCAATTATTGCAAATAAATTTCCTTCAACCAATTTGGAATGATTACTAAGACGGATTAAATCTCGGCGTACGCGTTAATAGTGCGAAAACATATCGCGTTACTTATCGCAAATTGACCAAAATGGCAATCTTTATACCGCCATAACTCAACGAAAAAAAACAAAAAAAAATAATCAGCTCCCCCCCCCAACCTTACCCCCAACCCCCATTTGCACAAGACTTACTAGTTCGGAAAAAAATTTCATATGTTTTTACGAGCTTAGAAAAGTTACACTCTGATTATTGTTCCGACTTTCGATACGAAAGTAACCGAATATTTGTGCTCGGGGTGGATTTTTTTCTTTAGACAAATTTCGTCTTTTTAACTAGCCATTTTTGACGGAATTTTTGACGGAATAGAATAGTATGATATGTCATGACATTAATCAATTAAACATCGACTTAAATCTTTCAAGGCCACCATTTTTGTGCAAGGCCACTGGTTCTATGAACACATTTCTTTTGATTTCTATTAAAAATTTGGATGGTAAGAAGTTCTATTGAAACCATGGGCGGATCTATGATTTTCTCGAGGGAGAGGCGGATTTTCAAAAATGTGACACGTCGCTCGAATTTTTTTACTCCGCTTATTCGAGAAAGAAAATGGGATCAATTGAGCAATCTCCCCCCAATCTCGCGTGGGGGGGGGGGGGAGATAGATCAATAGGTACTTGAGACATGTTTATAACCACTTGAAAATAGTTTGAATGACATGAAATCATAAAACATATTTTCCAACGACTGTGTAAAGCCAAAATTTACAATATCAAAGCTCAAAAGTTTCATTCAGATTGAAAAAAGAATCAATAAAACAGGCATAAAAAGCGACTTTTTTTCTTTCTTAAAATGACTAAAAGCTTTAGCGTACAATATTAAGGTGCTGCCGAGAACCGTTTTTGCTATTCAGATACAAGACTAGAGCACCAACTCTGGTGAATCGCTTTCCTCGATGAGGCTATGGTCCCTAAAACAAAAATTTGCAAAAAAATTTTTTTTTCATAAATTTCGAATTTTTTTTTCGATACTCATATAAAATAAACTTCAGTCGGTTAATTGATTGCGTGCTGTAAACACATCATCCATCTACTTGCGTTTGCTGACGTCTTTTTGTAGAGTTTTTTCGTTTTTGCTGGGGGGGGGGGAGATAGCTCAATTGGTCATTACGGGGGGGAGATTGCTCAATTGATCCAGAAAATGTTCACTCCGATGCAAAACTTAAAGCAGATGAAAAAAAACTGAAACTTTCAGACCCTGATTTACATTTTTGCAGTAAAACGAAATGAATTTTGTCCAAAACTGAAATTGAAATCAGGCAATATAGAGAGTAAAAACTTTATTTTGCGCTTGATTTTGTCCACTAGTGTATTCGGTCAACTAAAATTAGAATTATTTCACAACTCGACGAAAAGTACTTCAAGTTTTAATGATAAAGTTTTCACAACCTCGGGAACTGAAGTGGATTCATTCAGGTTCATATAGCTAAAAAATCATGCCTCAGATTGAAATTAAAGGCTCGCCATAAAATTAATGAGCTCTCATTGAAACAGGTAAAATGGTGTTGTGTTTTAGCACTTCACTTGAATCCATAGTGACGAGCACTGCAAAATTAATGGAATCACTAATTGAGAAAGAAAAAGGGCTAGGGTGGGTGGAGTCAGAGAATTGTATTCATTTTCTGAAAAATTAAGTTGGATCCTGAACATTTTTTAAAGCATGTTTTTTTGAACATTTTGCGAAAGCCATATGTTTACTACTCTGGTGCTAAATGAGAGAATTAGAGTATTTGCCTTCGTCACTTGCATTTGGTTACAAACATAACCCAAGAACTTTGAGAAGAATTTGAAAAAATGTATATATAATTGGTTTATGGAAAAATGCTAGTCGTAGAGTTTCCACATCTGAAAAACATCTAATTATTGACCTTTCATACAGTTTCTAAACTATTGAAGTTGCTAAAAAATTGTATGAATAACTTTTTTTCCGTATACAGAAATTGAATGACTAGCATTTTTGGTCAACACGTAAAATTATGAAAAATGAAGAGCTATTTGAAATTTGTTGTTCCGACCATTGAACTTTGTATTCGGGCGTGTTTTAGTTATTTTTTCCTTTTGATTTCCAGGCAAAATCAGGCAACACAAATAATCATTGGACTTGGTTGAGTGATATATCATAACAAAGCCGTTTTAGTCATGATCCGAACCACATTTAAAAATTCCCACAAATTTTTCCTAGTGTCAAGAAAAATTGGTTTAAAAATAAAGGCGACCTAGCAGGCTTAAAATAACTTATTTATGCTTATTATAAGCCACGAAAACTTAGTTTTAGTCAAGTATAAGTAATTTTTGCATTTTTTCAGCGAAAATTTTGGAACCAAAAACTTCAAAATTTTGAAACAAATTATAGAAGTTTTTTCATTTCTGTAACAACTTTTTTATTTTCATTTTTTTGATCATATTTTTTTGATCAACCCCAAGAGATTTGAAACACCCATTTTAACTAAATAATTTTTTAAGCAAAGTGATCAGACTTGTGTTTATTCTATAGGTTCAGCAATATAACGCAAACGTAGCAAAACAAGACTGCTCGTATCAGGGCCAAGCTCTGAATGTTCCAAATGCCTTTTAAGGTCTATGGAGTAGTATTAACTTGAAAAAATTAAGTGTAATGTACATTATGAGGCCAAACTGTGCATTTCGGGAATTGTAAGCGGATTCCGCAAGAAGGACGCTCCCTTTGTTCCTCTTTTGTTCTTTCATTTCCTTTGATCGTTCCAACAAAAATCTAACATGTTTCAAGACATGTCTCTGGAATCCAGGAACGTAAAGATGCAAAACTGTGCGCCTATCCAGTGTACAGTTTGGCCTCGTAATGAAATAAATTGAAAAGAAAAAATTATAATTTGAGAATTTTTGTGAAACTCATCCCCCCACACGTCTCATAAAGTAATAAGTGATAGACTTTGCTCCTATTAACAAATCAATTGTAGCAAATAAGCTTCCATCAACCAATGTGGAACGATTTCTAAGACGGGTTAACTCTCCGGTTACCCTTTAATAACGCGAAATATATCGCGCGTTCATTGTCCAAAAGTGGCCAAAATGACCATTTTTAAACCCCCGTAACTCAACGAAAACTAATCACTGATCAAATATATATTTTTTCAAGTTTAAGCTTAAACAACAATACTTTTTGAATGATTTTTAAAAAAATCAGCCAAAAATGGCTAGTTGAAAAGTCGAAATTTGTCTGAAGAAAAAACCACCCCGAGCACAAATATTCCGTTACTTTCGTTACGAAAGTTAGAACAATTAAAAAGAAGATAAAAACAGCCGCAAATGTGCGGATTCTTTGAGTTATATACCGAAAAAATATATCACATGAATGAATTTGCATTCATTCGTAAATGTTAGATAACTTGCGTAAATGTTACATTATTGTGTAGTCTTATTTGTACCAACGTTCATTTGTACCAAAATGAAAAATCGGTCCCATTTCTACCAAAATTATTCAAATCAATTTCTAATTGGTCGAATTGTGAGTCAACGAATTATTACATTAATTTTCTACTGTTCAAAGAGAAGAAAACTAAACAGCAGAATAGGGACCGCCGCACTCGCGCCAACGTGTTGCGAGCTTGCCAACAGAGCCAAGAGCTTAAAGTATACGGCTTAATAGTCTTAGGCCAATTGAATATTTTTGGTACTAACGCGATTGAGACTTTATTTTGGTACAAATGGGACTGATTTATCATTTTGGTACTTGTGAATACTCACCGTCTACAGGAAACATCCAATATGTCAAACAACTGCTACGTCAAATATTCAGTAATAAATGGAAACAAGACTGCTCGTATCAGGGCGAAGCCCTGAAAGTTCCGATTACCTTTTAAGGTTTATGGAGCAGCAGTAAAAACATTAAAAAAATTAAATGAAATAAAATAAAATGAAAGATTTTTTTTCTTAAATTTTAATGTTTTTTATACAAATCATCCCCCACACGCCATTTAAAGTACAAAAAGATAGATTTCGTTCCTGGTAACAAATCAATTATGGCAAATAAGCTTCGTTCAACCAATTTGGAACGATTTATAAGACGGATTAAATCTCCGCTTACGCGTTAATAGCGCGGAATATATCGCGCGTTAATTGTCCCAAATTGGTCAAAATGCCCAAAATGGCACTCTTTAAACCCTCATATTTTTACGAAAAAAGGTCACAGGTGAAATATTTTTTCAATTTTAAGCTCAGGACAACAATACCTTTTGAATGATATAAAAAAGTTCCGTCAAAAATGGCTTGTTAAAAAGTCGAAATTTGTCTGAAGAAAAAAAACCACCCCGAGCACAAATATTAATTTGGAAAAAGTACGGATGTTTGCTCTATTAAAGATATTTTTCGGATGTTTGCAACTTTTTTTGGTTTTTCTGATGTTTGACATATCGCATCATTGCAAGGTCACACTTGATACATGTGTGAAATACTGAAATTGTTTGCGAGTAGAATGCACATATATTGTTTATACGATGAACTGATTTGAGAGAGAGTTTTCCTGAAATTGTTTATTTCTAATGTTAGATTGAAAAAAGATAGTTTCTGTACAAAAATTATTAGGCAATTGTACAAGCTCTTTTTAGTTGGGAATTTTTGTTGGGTACAATTTGGTGTTCCTTGAAGTTCTTCATTTCCAAGGATCAGTTATTTTTTTGCAAGTTTTTTCATCATAATTAGAATAAACATTTTTCTCATGTGTGAAATCGAAATTACATTCTTTAAATTCATAGCTGGTGCTAGAATTTTCATTGAAATGAAACATTTTTTGTTGATAAACGTAGTTTTGTTACTTTGCCGGCCGGCTAAGTTGCAAGTTTTTTTTTCACACTGAAGAATAAATAGCAGAAGGCAAGGAGGTATGGGCAAGTGACTGACCAGAGCATGAAGAGTCCTAGGACGGCGTTGATGGGATTTCCCATCTGTTCGAACTTGTGCTTGCAGCTGGAGTCGAACCTGCCCGTCCTGGGTCCGAGGAGGAAGGCGGCCACCAGAGATGTAACTCCGCCCACCAGGTGCACAGCGCCACTGCCTGCTCACAAACAACAACAACAATAATCGGCACACTTCTCAAAAACAGGTTCAATCACTTGATTTCACCTAGCTAATTGGGTTTGATTACAACTTAAATTCTTAATTAAATTGTTTTATTATTTCTTTGTTTTGCATATACTGTTTGATTCATGGACTAGTTGACGATTAACAATTTAGTTCATAATCAATTCAACTTTTGAGCTCTTTGCATTTTCAGTTCAAAGAGTTTGTAAAAATTGAAGAAGCTGATGAAGTTATAAGCATTTAGGGGTACCAGAGAGCTAATGCTTCTTTGTAGTAGCACTATGGTCACGTAACAAAAATTTCAAAAGCCAAAACTTCAATTTTAACAGCAGGTTTTGATAAGGTTTTCATGGGTTTTCAAGTGTTAACACTGACGCTGGCGACCGCTGTCTCTTTGCAAAAACGTGAACAATGCCAAGAGTCTTGAAAGAAAATTGCAGAAATACTCCGGAATTTTTCAGGGTCGAAGCTACAATGAATTTTATTTACCGTGATATTAGTACATATTGTGATACAGCGGCGGACTTATGGGGGGGGGGGGGTGCACGCCTCCCCCTGGGAACTCGACTCCTTGCCGACCTAAAGAGTCTTCTTTAGTACTATTTGAAGACATCCACTTTTGGCTAGTCGAAATTGTTTTGAAGGTGCGTTTGGCGCCTGTATATACTCTAATTGTGACGAGGAATTTTTCAGATACTGACTTTGCTAAATCATCTTGCTTGCGGGAAAAATCAAAAAGTTAACTTAAAAGGACTCGAAAAAATTTTATTGAAAAAAAAAAAGCTTTTTATAGCATCCGAGCAAATTTTACCCCCGGGTTGTTAAAAAATGCTTGTAATCACCAGCGGATTTAGGAGGGGGCAATACGAAAGCGGTTTCAATTTTATAATGAATTCGTTTTTTTTGTTTTCTCGCACGTGTAATAATTTTCTTAATACAGTGCTGATTTAAATTATCCGGAATAAACGAACAAAACTTGAATTTTCAAACGCGTTTTTCTCAAATTGGGTTAAGATTAGAGAAAAAGTGAAGAGAACAAAAGTTGCTTAGAATTTCACCAGAATTAATATGATGTTATTTTTTCTCCGAAATTCACAACCAAATTTTTACCCCAAAAATGGGTCATTTCGGCTTTTTTCAATTAATCAAGAATTACGCTGAAACTATTTTGTTAATTGATAAAAATATTATATCATTAGAAGCCTCTTACGCAGCCCAACAAAGTTTAAGAAGGGTTATTTCTCCAAAAATTTGCGCAAATTGTGTAAAAAGTTTGTTTTTAAGCAAAGATTCTGGGTTTTATATAGTAAAAATCACATTTATTGATTATCAAGTGAAAATTTTTTCTCTTATACTGGTTTTTGGAGATTTATCCTTTCTTAAACTTTGTTGGGCTGCGTAAGAGGCTTCTAATGATATAATATTCTTATCAATTAACAAAGTAGTTTCAGCGTAATTCTTGATTAATTGAAAAAAGCCAAAATAACCCATTTTTGGGGTTAAAATTTGGTTGAGAATTTCGGAGAAAAAATGGCATCATATTAATTCTGGTGAAATTCTAAGCAACTTTTGTTCTCTTCACTTTTTTGTCTAATCTTAACCCAATTTGAGAAAAACGCGTTTGAAAATTCAAGTTTTGTTCGTTTTGTCCGGATAATTTAAATCAGCACTGTAGAATATGCATTAGTGAATGTAAGTAATAGTGAATTCACGATGTGGGAGAGATTTGCCGGAAGTTTTCTCCCAGATATGCAAGTTTTTTTAATTTTTTTTTTTTGATATAACACCCTTTCCAGTACTCCTCCCCCCCCCCCCCCCCCCCCCCCTTAAGATTATGATTAGGACATTGCTGATATCTAAAGAGTTGAGAAGATCTCCTGCAGAAAATTAAGAAACTGAGGTTGCAGTCTTAAAAAAAATTTTTTTCTCAGGTTTTCTTCTCTGTTCGCAGATTGCACGGCTTATTAGATGGGCTTTAATGTAATTTGTGTCGCATTTGAAAAAATTTTTTCCAAAAACTGTTTGTCATACAATTTTCATCAATGAAAAAATTTTAGTCATACAATTTCCATTTATGGCAAAAAAGTTTGTCATACAATTTGCATTTATGAGAATTGTATGATAAGCATTTTTGGTCAACCCGGGTATCGTTTCAAAATAGTCTTAGTAAACTTACTATTTTAACTCTTCGAACCTTTCACTATTTTTAAACTAGCCATAAAATAAAAGTCAACTACAACATATTTGCATTGTTGCCTAGCGATCTCAGCTATTTTTATTTTTTTAAACGTGGCGTAGTCAAACGAGTCAAATCTTCTTAGAATTTTTTGAATCAACACCGAATGGTAAACATAGATATTGGGGCAAATGGTCGGAGACATTTTGAAGCGACCGGGGATCAGGTCCTACGAGTCGCAAGAGATGAACGAAAGAAGCCGGCTAACTTATCTACAACCAAGAAGTTCGCAGACGAAAAACAGAAAATAACGCAAAGCACATTGAACTACAGACAGGGAATAACTGCAAAAAGTTCATTTAAACTGAAAAACTTGATTTAACATAATTGAAAGAAGTACAAAAAAGTTTTGCCATCAAAAACTCCAACAAAAGCGTGTTTTGGATAGAATTTTTGCAGAGTTTTGTGAATTGTTTATGTAAACTTTTGCTCTAAAAAGTTTAAAAAGAAACATCTCACTTCTTGAGCTGCCTGAGACCAAAAATGTAATAAATGGGGTCACAAAGTTCATTCTGCTGAGCACCGTAGAAGCTCAGCCAAAAACAACGCGAACAAGGTAGACCAAAATCTCATCAGCCCGGCCAACATTTCCGACGGAATAATATTCATGACAACCCCGAAGTTGGGGTAAGTCTTGACAACTTTCTGGTTCTAACAGTAGACAGTGAAAGCAAAGTAACTGCTGCCAGGAACCGTAATGAAAAAACTTGGTTAAAAAACCTTATAATTATTATCCATAGAACTCCGGTGGGTTAAAAACTGGGTTAAAAAAACTTATAATTATTATCCATGGATTTCCGGTGGGGGAAGCTATGAAAATCTAATTCAAACCCCTGAAAATTTAGTTTTATTAGGGTTTTGGTTAAAAAAACAGTGAAATGAAGTGTTAGTTAAACTGCGATGAATTGAAAAAAAAGTAGAGACAAAAAATATAAATTTTATTCTGAAATGTAACATTTTATGAAACGTAATTCGTAGCAACTGCACTAAACAGGAAATGAGATAATTTTGAACAAAATTGTAAATTTCAAGAATAACCCCTCGAAAAAATCCATTATAATTGATTATAATTGATTAAAAATGGATTATTTTGCCTCGAAAACAAGTTTCATTTTCTTTCAAAAATAATCGATCATAATCGATTATATTCGGATTTTATTGATTAGAAGAATAGTTTCATTATAATCCATTTTAATCGATGATAATCGATTATTATCGAAATTTATTGAGACAGACCACGAAAATTCAATATAATCGATTACTATCCATGGAACTTCGGTGCGGGAGTGCTACTATATTTCAAGGTTGATTGAAACGTGTGTTGTTGAGTTCAATTGACATTTCATGCCTGCCAAAAACGCAACGGTTTTTTGGGATTGCCAACTGTTGTTCATAAGTAATCTGAATGAATTTATTCAAACTTTCCGCTTCTCGTTATGAAGAATTAGTGTCTGCGTAATTTTTTTTAGCCCTTCGAACCTTTTACTTCTTTTAAGTTGGTCTTAGTTCAAAAATCAACTGCACCGTCTTTGTATCGTCATTGGATATATTTTCATCTGGAGAATAAAAAATTAGGAGATCAAGTGACAATTGTTTCTTGGGACGAAGGAATATTTTGTCATCGGATATATTTTCACCTAGAGAACAAAAAATTAGGAGATCAAGTGACAATCCATTTTAATGGAAACGGTAGCAGCATTGGAAGACAAGTTGACATTTTGTATTGTATGAAGCATGGTGCCGATTTGCCCGGGTTGAGGTGCTCGGCTCATGATTCAACCGAAACAGCCAAACGATGTCCGTTTTTGACTTTTTCAGTAGAACGATGTCCGTTTTCGACTTTGTTCGACTATAGCGGGCATTGTTCGACCTTACTCGATTTTGTTTGACTTGGCCGGAAATTGATCGACTTTGTTCGATTTAATTCGACTTTATCGGAAATTGTTTATTTTTTAGATAAACCGCTCAAAACCGTTCAAATCTTGCGCGGTTTTTGAGCGGTTGTTTTAGAAAAACCGTTCAAAAACAGCTCAAACCGCTCACTTTGAAGCAAGATTTTGAGCGTAATTGTCTAAAAAAAACCGCTCAAGCCGCTCAAATCTTGCTTCAAATAAGGTGAAAAATCTCGCTCGGGAAGTAAGGGAAGTCAAAATTGGTAGAGGCAAACAGCCAATACAAGTTATAATATGAAACAAGAACTAGTGGATGGGGAAGAAGAACAGCACTTCGTTGCAGCCGAGTTGTAAGTAATGAATCGTTATGACCGGTTTTATTAGTTTCAAAAACAGTACTGAATCAGTACTGGAACAGTACTGCAATTTTCTGCCCTGATTTTAACAACTATCAATGCTATCATGCACTTGCCCAGTACTGTTACAGTACTGATTAAATAATGTTGCAGTTTTGAAATAGCGCTGATTTTCACTGGCAGACCAATCCGCAAAGGAACAATCTTTGCTCGGGCAAAAAAAATGGTGTGGAACATTTGGAATGCCATTTTCAAATATTGAATTTCAATAGCTTCATCAAGTCAAGTAAGCGCAGTCAATCAAGGCTACGAAATAGTTTCCAAAAACAAAACAAAAATATCAAAAATTTCAGGTTCCCATTATGAAAACATTTATTGATCATTTATTGATTTATTAATTTTCGACTCCATTGACAAGGAAAGAGATGCGAGTCTTCGCCATCAGCCCAGTGATAGATGGGAATGGGAATGAAAACAAAATATATCTGAA